ATGAAAGTATCAAATTTTTTTAAATATAAATTTCTTTTTTTAATTATTAGATAAGAGATTAAATGTTATTTTTTTGATAAATTTTGTGAATAAATATGTTTTTTATAAAATTTTTATTATTAGCAATTATTAAATGTGTTATAATACTTGACTCTGCTTTATAAAAAAGATTTTATTTGATGATTTGTTTAACTGTTTAATAATACTTCTGAATATACTATATTTAGAATAATGTTATTATTATTTGGAGATAGAAGAATTTTTATAAAGTGTAAGCAGGTGCAACAAGATAAAGCTACATAATGTTGACCATGAGAAAAAACAAAAGTTCTAAGGTCTAGGCTAATATATTTTATAAATTGACCTTGTGATTTGTTTATAGTAATTACAAAAGCTAATTAGATAGAAAATTGTTATTATTTAAATTTGAACAGGAGTTCAGAAGTTGAAAAAGTAAGAGAAATGTGAGGAATAAAGATCAAACAGTCTGCATAGTCTCTAGTTAAGATATAGACTTTTATTATATAGATGTTAAGTTTTGTTATAACTAATCAGAAACCATTGCAGAGATCTTGGCTAGATGCTAAGTTTCGTAAAAATATAATAGAGCATTTGATTTTAAGTTTGAGTATTGAAGGTAGCATGCCAGTAGGTTTAAAAAAAATTCAAGTATTTGCTAAGATAGGAATTATTATTGTTATTAACTTCAGATATTATACTGTTTGAACTTAAGTATGTTTGTTTCTTTTCAGAAAATATATTAAGAATAGCAAGGTTGATATCATCAATATCAATATTACAAAAAGAAAATATTATTTGATCTTTTAAGTATTGATTAGTACATACATTTTTAATATTGATGTTATAATATATTGATTTAATAAAAGCATCTAAATCATAGTTGAGGTCAATTATCATATTTTCAGGAATATTGATAGTGTTGTATAGTTAAATGTAGTTGTGCTATCACTAATTTAGATGTAAAGTAAGTGGTGAAAATAAGTTTAATGTATAAATAGGTAAGTTAGAGTTTAATGTTAAGGACTTACTTTTAAGAGCTATTGCACAAATTCTTGAGTTTTAATGAATTCAGATTGAAGATGCATGTTTTTTTTTAATGTATATATTTTGATTGATTGCTATAAATATGATTTCTAAAGAGAGGTAAATACAATTTGTTCTCAAAAGCCTTTAGTTATAACAGGTAATATTTGATAAAAATTACTGCTGAATACTATTGTAATTTCTTTAAATAGATGTAGGTCATCATGAATGTCTTGTAAAGTATAGTTAACAAATTCAGCACAATTATAGTGTTGCATTAAAATTTTATCTCAGATGATAAAAAATGTTTGTTATAATAAATTGGCAAGATCAGAGTTTTTGTTAATTGAGTATAAAGAATCATCATTAATATCAAGAAGAATTTTAAATATTAAATAAGCTATTTGACCATTGTTAAATAAAAGGACAGCAATGTCAGAAGAAGCTATACAGATTACAATTTTGTATTTATTGCAGACTTTTATTGCTAAAGTATTGTACAAAAAGGTTTTACCAGATCTAGTGAGTCTATTTAAAAAAAATAAATTGCTTTCTTGTTTTGTTACAGAATTAAAAATATTTTGATATGCTGTTTTTTGTTTAATATTTATTTGAAAAATATGATTGTTTGACATTTTTTGAAGTTCATTATAGTTCTAATTTATATGTTCATAGATAAGACAGTTTTTTTAATAGTGACTCCAATTATGTTCCTATCAAGGTATAATAAAAAACATGCTAAGAGAATAGTTTGACTTGTATAAAATTTTATTAAAAAAAAGAGAGCAAAATCGAATATATAAAATTCAGATGGAGTTTGAATATTATATTAATTAGTTAAATAGTAATAAAGGTTATTGCAAAGATTATAACAAAAATGTAACTATAAATTATAAGGTTAAGTTAGAGTGCAATATATAAGCATAATAGCAAAAAGTAATCTTAGTTAGGTGCCACTATGTATGATTGCAGCTTCTGTTAAACATTGTTTCTATTTATTGTTATTTTTTAACAAACCTAATGCAATACATATGTCTTTAAATGTTAAGTAAGTAGTATTGTTGATTGTTTTCAAATGATCAAATGATCAAGAACTACAAACTTTAGTTAGTAGAAGTCTTAAATAGAATTGTTCTCTAGCAGATAGGTCAGTGAAGTATAATCTACTGATTGCAAAACCTTGTTTTTATAATTTTTATGTTTTATTAAATTTATTTTAAGTAAAGTGTTGAAGAAATTCTTAATAGATGTATTGATAGATGTTTTCAAAAGTTTCACATATTTCGAAGAATGCTGTTAATATAGTTTTTTGTCAGTTAGCATGTGCAAAAATCTGGGCAGCATCATCATTTAGATCATAGATGACTGTATGCATTTCTGAAAGATGTAATGCTAGTTATACAATGTTAGTTACTTCTTTATATATACTGAATTCTAAAAGATGCCAAATAGCTTTTGGTGTATTTATATATCTTGCATCAATATATTGTTTGATGTCATCAAAATCTCATTCAAATTGAATGATAGTTCAGTTATGACCTTTATAAATATATTTATGAATATATTTTATAGCATATATAGATGCAAAATTTTGATATTTATATGGCAGTTATATTTACAACTAAGGGTTGGATTGTATAATACTATATCTTGATTATCAACAGTTTTGTTAATGATATTAAAGGTTTGTCTATTGTTTCATCTTCTATAAAAAAAATAACTATTTGTATCTATTAATATTATATTACAAAATTGTTTTAGATAATTTCTTTTGCATTTGCTATTTTTTATATATAGTGCTTGAGGATTGTGAGAACTGCATAAACTGTAAATCATACAATATAATATAGTGTTAAATAGTATTGGATCTGTTTCTTAGTCAGGAAATTTAGTACTTATAAGATGATTAATATCAGCAGGTTCTTTTATTTTATAATCTTTATAAAGAAATATTAAAAAGTGTATATGTGGAAGACCACATTTTTAAAATTCAATCATGTAAACATGTGTGACAGTTTTGCCAAGAAAGTTTTTTTTTTTGATATCTTTGAGAAAGAATTATCATTTTAATTCAAATACATGCACTACTAAGTCTGAATGATCTAATAATGTTTGGCTAAGTAACAGTTCATTAATTATTTTAGGCCAACTGAAGTTTGCTATCATAGTTCTAAAAATATTAAGATGTTAATAATATTAGATAATAGCTATTGAATCTTGAAAAATTTTAAACATATGACATGAGCTGCTAATATGTGTAAAAGAAAGAATTATTTGATATCCAAGATTATTAAATAATAATTCTCTACTTGCAATTTCTTTTGCGGCATCTGCAAGTCTTTGATATAGATCAGCTTATAGTATACTTTTATTATTGCATAGATATCTTAAGTAATTTTGTTCTGTTGTTGCTCATATGTTAACTATAAATTCTTAAAATAATTTGTCTCCTTAGAGGATTGTTAAAAATTCATTGTAATATGAAAAAAGGTGAAAAGAAAAAAATTGTTTTTGCATAAGTCTAGATGTATCAGTTTGGTTATTTATATTTATTTAACACAAATTTTTATGTCATCCAAGTTCATCACATGGAAAAAAAGTATATAATATAGTGGTAAATAAGCAGGATGTCCTTTATGAATTCATTTAAGTGAGTTATTATATAATCAAATAACTATATCATATATGCTTTTTGGTATAGATTGTTATCTGGTAAAATAATAGCTATTTCATCTACAGTTGGAAGATTGTAGCAATGTCTATTTATTGTATCAATGTAGTGTAAATAAATAGCTAAGTTTTTATTAGAAGTATTGTTTTGATTAAGTTAAAAAAAGATTTTATGAACTTGTTTATATAGCAAATAAAATGTATAGTAAGTACATAAAATATTTTGTATTTTCTACATCATTTGTAATGATAAATTGTTATTATGATTCATTTGTAATAAACATGCAATTGTTAGATCATATATATAAAGTTGTGCATATTGTAGATCTTTCTTATTAACAGAAAAGAGTAAGCTAAATAAATGATATAATTCTCTACTAATATAAAAACAATATGGACTGTGTTCATATAAAACTGTTTGATCAATATTAACTCTCACTGATATAAATATATGAGCAGCATTATATTGATAAATCTTTGTATGAAATTCTTTAATTTCATTATCATTATTTTTAAATAAATGTTTTAAAAGAAGTGGTGTGTTGTTAAGAAGAGAAAGAATAACTTTTTCTTAATGATAACATAATCCAAATTTAGGGCTTTGGATCAAAAAATTTGTCAATCATTCATATAACCAATAAAGAGCACTGCAATGAGTGCAGTTAATGTTTTTTTTTTAAATATTAAGGTGAGTACTTGTGACCCAGGATTTTATTGATAGTACATTCAGCTAATGGTTGCATTA